TCCAGCGTATCTACCACTCCTCCCAGTTTAGTGTCATCCGCAAATTTGCTGAGAGTGCAATCCACACCATCCTCCAGATCATTTATGAAGATATTGAACAAAACCGATTTAGTTGTAACCCCCTTCCAAAGTGACATAAGAGTGTCCACATTGAGTCTGTATTGTCCTGTGTGTTTGTTTGTGGTCCATAGGTAGATATAGTCTGAGCAGGTGGTATCATAAGCCAGTGGTCTCCAAACTGGGGTGTGCACCCCCTAGGGGGTGTGCGAGATGATCCCAGGAGATGCGCAGCACCAGGAGAGCCGACGGACAGCACTCCACCGTTTTTTTTCTTCGGCGGCAGCTCTGCACGTCCAAAGCTGGTGTTCCCCTCTGGCGGCCTGCCTGCTGTAAGTCATCCATTCTTCTTCCATTGGTGGCGACCTGCGGCTGGTCTTCCAGTCTTCTTCTGTCGGCGGCGCGTCTCTGGCAGGTCTTACAGTCTTCACCTTGGGGTGCGCAAGCCAAAAAGTTTGGAGACCATTGTCATAAGCCATACCTGCACCCGGGTAACTGCATGAACGCAGAGAGTCTTCAGCCGCTTACAGGGAGGCAGTAAGCCATGTGGATGCTAGCACAACACCTTGTTAATCCCCCCATGAATTTTGACCCAATGCTGGGTTCTGATAGCTGCAAACCTTTTCCCAGAGTAGGCATTTCAGATGGGTAGTAACATTTCATTGTATGATTGCAGAGCCATTGGCCATTATCTTTGAAAACTCGTGGCGAACCGGGGAAGTCCCGGATGACTGGAAAAAGGCTAATGTAGTGCCAATCTTTAAAAAAGGGAAGAAGGAGGATCCTGGGAACTACAGGCCAGTCAGCCTCACTTCAGTCCCTGGAAAAATCATGGAGCAGGTCCTCAAAGAATCAATCCTGAAGCACTTGCATGAGAGGAAAGTGATCAGGAACAGCCAGCATGGATTCACCAAGGGAAGGTCATGCCTGACTAATCTAATCGCCTTTTATGATGAGATTACTGGTTCTGTGGATGAAGGGAAAGCAGTGGATGTATTGTTTCTTGACTTTAGCAAAGCTTTTGACACGGTCTCCCACAGTATTCTTGTCAGCAAGTTAAGGAAGTATGGGCTGGATGAATGCACTACAAGGTGGGTAGAAAGCTGGCTAGATTGTCGGGCTCAACGGGTAGTGATCAATGGCTCCATATCTAGTTGGCAGCCAGTATCAAGTGGAGTACCCCAAGGGTCGGTCCTGGGGCCGGTTTTGTTCAATATCTTCATAAATGATCTGGAGGATGGTGTGGATTGCACTCTCAGCAAATTTGCGGATGATACTAAACTGGGAGGAGTGGTAGATACGCTGGAGGGGAGGGATAGGATACAGAAAGACCTAGACAAATTGGAGGATTGGGCCAAAAGAAATCTGATGAGGTTCAATAAGGATAAGTGCAGGGTCCTGCACTTAGGACGGAAGAACCCAATGCACAGCTACAGACTAGGGACCGAATGGCTAGGCAGCAGTTCTGCGGAAAAGGACCTAGGGGTGACAGTGGATGAGAAGCTGGATATGAGTCAGCAGTGTGCCCTTGTTGCCAAGAAGGCCAATGGCATTTTGGGATGTATAAGTAGGGGCATAGCGAGCAGATCGAGGGACGTGATCGTCCCCCTCTATTCGACATTGGTGAGGCCTCATCTGGAGTACTGTGTCCAGTTTTGGGCCCCACACTTCAAGAAGGATGTGGATAAATTGGAGAGAGTCCAGCGAAGGGCAACAAAAATGATTAGGGGACTGGAACACATGAGTTATGAGGAGAGGCTGAGGGAGCTGGGATTGTTTAGCCTGCAGAAGAGAAGAATGAGGGGGGATTTGATAGCTGCTTTCAACTACCTGAAAGGGGGTTCCAAAGAGGATGGCTCTAGACTGTTCTCAATGGTAGCAGATGACAGAACGAGGAGTAATGGTCTCAAGTTGCAGTGGGGGAGGTTTAGATTGGATATTAGGAAAAACCTTTTCACTAAGAGGGTGGTGAAACACTGGAATGCGTTACCTAGGGAGGTGGTAGAATCTCCTTCCTTAGAGGTTTTTAAGGTCAGGCTTGACAAAGCCCTGGCTGGGATGATTTAACTGGGAATTGGTCCTGCTTTGAGCAGGGGGTTGGACTAGATGACCTTCTGGGGTCCCTTCCAACCCTGATATTCTATGATTCTATGATTCTATGATTTCGGGGAAAGGCATATCTTCCGGGCCTCCATCTGTAAGTCGCCAGCCCATTACAATTGCAGATGTGTTGTTCAGTTACTATAAGCTTGAAAACATCTTTGGTATACATGGGTGGGTTCCTCATGTCCCTTTGCAGTCAGGAACCTCCAGGATTGTTATGTCCTCCAGAATGTGGAATGCCTGAAAAGATTGAGAAACTATGGATAGTAAACCACAGCAACTGGATCCCCCCAAGCTAAAATGGTCTGCAATTTTTAAATAATATCACTTATAAATTTCATCTTAGCATTATGTGCGAAGGCTGTACACTCTGCTTAACTCTCAGTCCAGGAAATGAGTCCTATATCCATGGCCCTGGTACAGGTAAGAAACTCCATTCACTCAAAACCATTAGTTATTTCAGGGACATTGTCTATACTCACCACCTTTGGGTAAATCACATTCCTGAACACCTGAGAAACCTCCACCACCACAGCCCCCACCCTCAACTTGCCAACACCAAGCTGGTTAGCAACAGACCTGTAGCGCTTAGGAGTGGTAAGCTTCTAGATGGCTATAGCAACCCGCTTCTGGACCTCTATGGCCACCCTACTGTGTATCCTGTCACTGGAGGGTTGGGGCAAGTTGATCACAAAGCTCCAGAAATGGAAAATGTGGCCCTGTTTCAATCTTGGCTGTGCAACATGTTTTACTTTGTAAAATCATGCCTACCGTGCATACAACAAGTAGGCATTGTATTTTTCCTAGGTATAAGAGACATTTATATGCTCTTACATAGGAATAACAGCAGTGTCAAAAATTATAATTATCATATCATACAGCCTTTGTGATAGTGTTAAATGCACTATGAATGGAAAAGCATAAAAAACCGCTCTGCCTATGTGCAGTTAGCATACCTGGAAAAATGTTAGCTAATACACTACTCTGAATGAAAGAACGCCTTAATGCTTTCTTATGTAAAATCATCACATGTAATTTCATGTGGCATGGTATAAGTACGGCACCCTCATGAGTAATTATTCTTGCTGGAAAACATGTAAAATAGTGACATGCATGAAAATGAAAAATATTCACATGTTGAAATTGAACTGTTTTGAACTATACTGACAGGTTTCAGAGTAGCAGCCCTGTTAGTCTGTATTCGCAAAAAGAAGAGGAGTACTTGTGGCACCTTAGAGACTAACCAATTTATTTGAGAATAAGCTTTTGTGAGCTGTAGCTCACGAAAGCTTATGCTCAGATAAATTGGTTAGTCTCTAAGGTGCCACAAGTACTCCTTTTCTTTGAACGATACTGTTATTCTGAATTCATGAAAAGAACCACTCATGCCTTTTGGAAAAGGACACTGCTTGCGACAGTCACTGAAGTAAAACCTATACTGAGATTTTTATTTTATTTTAGTTAATTCCCTATCCTTTGCCACTTGTGTATATATATATATGTCTATTGATGGCTGATGTTACACACTAAGGCAATGTGAGTAAAGTTGAGCATAGATCATAGGTGCCAACTCTGTGCATGCTCCAGCCCTGTAGCACCCACGGGGAACCCCCGTTATCAACTCGCCTCTTCCCACTGATCAGTGCTTCCCAGTCTCACAGGCCGCAATCAGCTGTTCTGTGGCATGCAGGAGGCTCTGGGGGAAAAGGGGGAGGAGCGAGGATGTGGTGTGCTTGGGGGTAGAAAGGAGGGGCTGGGGAGAAGAGGTGGGGTGGAGCTGGGGGTGGAAAAGGTGGGGGTCGAGCACCCCCAAACACATTGGAAAGTCGGTGCCTGTGGCACAGCTGTAAACCTTTTGCCAGACTTAATGACCAATCTGTACAACACATCACCCTGAAGTAAATGCAGTGGTGCATGTACAGCTGTTTTGGAGATAGCAAGCGTTGGGTATCCCTAGTGCAGCAGTTCTCAAACCGTGGCTTAGGACCCCACAGTGGATCATGACCCCATTTGAATGGGGTCACCGGGTTGGCATTAGACTTGCTGGGGCCTAGGCCTGAAGCCCAAGCCCCACAGCCCAGATCCACAGCCAATGCCCGAAGACTTCAGCTCTGGGAGGTGGAGCTCAGGCTACAGGCCCCCTGCCCAGGGCTGAAATCTTTGGCGTTTGGCCTTGACACACCCGTCCCGGGACTGTGTTTTGCTGCCAGCCCAGATCTCAAGGGGTGGCCAGCGCGGGGTAGGCAGGGAGCTGGACCCCAGCCCGTGTAGCACATTGTTCCAGCAGCTGTCTCGCGGGGCCACCTGCACCCCGGGGGGTGGCTGGGGCCCAGCCCCCAAGGGCCGCTGGCTGCAGAGCTCTGAGCGCGGCGGCAGCTGGCTGGCGTCTTCCCGCGGGGACGGGGAGCCGGCGGCGGATGCGCAGCCCCTGTCCCCCGCCTCCTCCTGGAGCACGCGACGCGCTACAGGCCGACGGGCGGGGGGGGGAATGCTTCGCGCATGCGCCGGAGCAGAGGCTGTCCTCATTGTGGGGAGGGGGAGAGCGCGCACCACCCCCTACCTCGCGCGGGCGGGCGGGCGGTACCACTGTGTAACGCTGAGGGTTGGGCCCCACACCCATTTCCTTTGTCACGGGGGCGCCTTCCACCGCTTCCCGCTCGGGCCAGAGTGGGGGGTGGGAGGGTGTCGCTCCGCGTCCAGCGCTGGAGGGCGGCGGGCGAACGGAGCGAGGGACGCGGGGCTGAGGGACGCGTACGTCGCCCCCTCCCCCCGGCTCGGCCGCAGAGTGGGCGCGTCCCCCTTCCCCGCTGTTGATGGTCGGGTCGTTGCGCGGCTGCCGCCGCTGCCCCCGGCGTCGCGAGTTCACGCTCGCTCAGCTCCCGCCCGCCCGCCCCGGCTTCAGCCTCGGCCTCCCGGCGGCCCCATGGCGTACAGTCAGGGCGGCGGCAAGAAGAAAGTCTGTTATTACTATGACGGTGAGCGGCGGGGACGGGGGCGGGCAGCGGCGGGGCCGGGAGCTGAGGGACGCGGAACTCGAGTTCCCCGGTTCCCCGCGCCCGGGCTTCTGCGTCTCGATCGCAGCCCCTGGGAGCTCTCCGGCGCCGCCGCCCCGGCCCCCCACCGTCCCCGGCAGCGGGGTGTCTGGTTCCAGGCAAGGCTGGGGCTGGACGGCTGGTGGCGGCCCCGCCTAGGGGCGGCGGCGGCGGCGGGCTGCTGGGGCCGATCGCAGCCCCCGTTATCAAGGCGACGCTCTTAGCGCCTGGCGTAGCAGCTGGGGAGCCTCCGTGTCTCTGGCGGAGAAGCGGGTGGCCGAGGGCGGTGAACCGCCGCGGCTGCCCCTTGTGTTTTGGCAGCCTCCCGGCCGGGGCAACGCACACTGGCGTGCACGACAGTTTGCTGGCCGTGTCTGCGCATCTTGGCTCGGGGATGCTCCTCAAATCCGCAAACTACGTCTTGTGACTTATCTGACCAATACCACATAGCTAAGCCATGTTTGAAATTTGGGTTGCTTTGCATTGCGTTTCATGTATTTGCAGCACACCGTAAGGTGGAAACTTCCCTGTCTCTCATCCCGCCCCCCGAAAAACACTCTACACAAAGCAGGAAAGTTCCCTTTGCTCGCTGACTTTCTGCTCACAGCGTGAGGCTAAAGTTATTGGTCAGATTACTTGTTTGAGGCTAAGTTTCTGCATAAATAAAGATGCATGGGATAAGTCTTACTCTTGACAGTTGAGAATGGGTGGCATGGATGGGGGATTTTGCTATTAGAGGTAGTGAAGAAAGGTGATGAGACTGCTTTGCGTTCCTATTACATGTATTGTCATAATTTGAGATATGGAGAGCAGAGTCTCCAGCCTAGGATGATGCCAGAGGTGCTGCTGCTGTGGTAGATGGGCTGATCAGAAATCCCAGACCTGAAGAAGAGCTCTGTGTGGCTCAAAAGCTCTCTCTCACTAGTAGAAGTTGGTCCAGTAAAAGACATTGCCTCACCTACCTTGTCTATTCAGAAAAATGGCAGATTTGTTGGGGCCTAGTCAGGGTTTCTAACATGCTGCCAAGACAGGCAGAGTTGTGTGGTTACCGCCCCCTTCTCTTTGTCCTTCACTCTGCTTCTTTGTTCAGCATAAGGGGGAAAAGAGGCCCCTGTTAAGGAGAATTTTGCTGAAACTGGCATCTGACTTTTCTCTGGAAGAAGAGTAGGCACTGTTAGTCTTACCGAAGGGAAGATTGCACTGATGTTTCTGTTTATATTTGCCTGTCTTGAAACTAAAAATGTAGGTATATGGTTGTGCAGTGTATCAGAAAAAGCAAAATCTGCTTGGTTAGTATACCATTTCACTAGAGTGCAATACTGTGGCATTTTAATAGTAGCCTAAGAATTGTAAGCTCCATTGCTTGGATTCCTACACAGCTGAAAAACTACATGGGGGAGGAGAATGAAAAAAGCACTGGGTTAAGGAACAGTTCTGTGTTGGCAGGGTGATGAACTAGTGATCAAATTGGTCTCAACCACCTCAGATTTCCTTGAAAATGGATGTTCTTATGGTCAGTTGGAGACTCAGTATTTTCCTCCGTGACTGTTCAGACTCCTAATTATTTAACATTTCTCCTGCTGTGTGAGAGCATCTTTCCCATTGTCTGCTGTGCTCATCAATATTCCTAGTATTCATCTGGGTTAGAATGTTTCAGAAGACTTTTTTTTTAAACCTGAAACCAGCATTGAATGAAGTGCCAAAGTCAATGGTTATTTTACATTCTTTCCAAATGTAATAGATCAAAACTGCGTACTTAGAAATTAGCAAAGCTTATCAGAGAAAATTTCAAAACTAATTTCTGATATAGCTGGGAAAAGTTCCTAACCCACTTACAGTTCATTCAGCATTTCTTCTAATTTCCATGCTGTGTTGTACCCACAGAGGTTTGTAAATGTTCCTCCTACTGTATGTAAAGGGAAAAGGGCTCACGACCTTAAATGATATGAAAGTTGTAATATGAAAATACTACAACAGATATGGAAGTACATCTGTGGGTGGATGCAAACTTACACCTAGCTGATGACATCAAGCTGGAGTTTATTAAAGATTTCTTTGCTGTTTGTTGTGTCAAAGACTTTTGTAGAGAAACATGACTCCTTCATTCAAGTTTTGATTCCAATTTTCACTTTGTTTCTTTGGAAATATGTAGAAGTCAAGAAGTGTACACTAAAAATTGTAAACGTGTAAAAGAGGCACACTAATTCAATGTAGTGTGTTTTAAGATGTAATTTAGTACTTTCCCTACTTTGTAGTAATTTTAGTATGGTTATTGGCAGAGAGAAGTTACTCTATCAAATCAGCATTTCACTTTGCAAATCTGCTTACTGCATGTATTAAGATTAACATCTGCTTGTCTTATTGACTGTTTTGGTACCTTTAAGTCTTGTTAGTACTGCAAAACTCAGCAATGGGAGAACTAGCTTGATGTTACTCATGCTTATGCTTGTAACAGAGTTGTTAATGAAGTCCATGTTGCAGAATTTTTATTGCTGGTGGTGATGTGTTGAGCTAGAAAGAACCCTAGCTTCACTTTCAAATCATAAGCTAACTGCAGTGAAGGGAGCATTATTTTACTTGAACTGAGCAAGTATGATATAGAAATGCTGAGATAAACACATGAACCCATGAGGTTATTTTTAGATTAAATGCATTCTATTGCCAGCCTTCAGAATTGGAATGTGTCGGCTTTTAGGGTATATTCACACTGCATTGTAAACTCAGGTCTGTGGGACTTATTTTTGTTCAATGTTCCCAAGCCTGTGTTTAGGTATATCCATTATATTGTAAACCTGGACTGACAGTTGCTGGACCTGGATCTCACGGCCATGCTAACTGCCCTATGCAGACCTTCAGACTTGGTTCTGAGGCTTCAGCTACATTCACACTGAAAACACTCTGACACTTGGGCTCTGACTCACTCCAGCATGGTCCTGAGTGCTTGCTGACCTGAGTCAGACTGATTTGTGTGTGGAGGGAAGGGAGGTGTAGGGCTCAAACCTGAGTCAGAGCCTGGGCTTCGTGTGTGATGTAGACATATAGTATATTAAAGTAGTATTTTGGTTTACAAATGTCTCTTAGGTCCTTCCTTGTTCACGTTGACTAGAATAGTGCTTAGATACAATGAGCTATTAAAGTGGTTAAGCACAGTTTTGTAGAACCATACTGTACAGTTTTCGAACAATACTGTAACTAGCCCAGTTGCAGCTGATGAGTAGATTCATAGACTACAAGGTAAGAAGGGACCATGGTGATCATGCTGTTTGACGTGAATAATCCAGGTCCTAGAACTTCCCCAAAATAATTCTTAGAGAATAGTTTAGAAAAACATCCAGTCTTGATCAGCGTGAATTTGATTTAAATCAATTTGATTTAAATCACTAGTCAGGAAGACTCAATTTAATCATGGATTTCTACCTAGAAGTGTATTCTTGTTGGTTTTTATAACCGTAATACATTATATTCTTCATAACTCAGATATAGGTTTCATTTTTAGAAGGTACACACTATACATTTTTGAAGTGATTTATTTTGAAAACTTTTCAGATTACTTTTACAGCTCTATCAGAAAATGAATGATTGGTAATTTTATTTACTTATTTATTTCAAAGGTAATTGAAGAAGATATTTATGAAGTCATTGGGAGGTGAACTATCTCAAATTCAACAGGTTAATCATTAATATTTAGAGGATTTTCTTGCCATGCTGTATTAGGAGGAGATCATCACCAGACAGACATTTAAATTGTTTTATTTAACTAAACATTATGTATTCTGGATTTCTTTCTTCAACAGTAAACATATAATATTATAACAAAGCATATGAATTTTTGAATTTAGTTAAAGATTCAACGTTTTTAAAATCAAACCTGATTTTTATTTTGTTTTTAACTAAAATATTAGCAAAACAAAAATTAAATCCACTATGTCAGTTAGGTCAACATGAGAAACTTAAAATATTGGCCTCTGCAGCTAACTCAGTCGTCTTCACTTTCATTTTCCTGTTTGTTCATAATCTGGAAAAGAAAAACCAGCTTTCCTGTTTTTTCAGGTCCCAAACGATTTCTCAATTTGGCATGAATTAGTCCAAAGGAAGAAAATATTGTTTCTACCCTGGCAGAAGAAGCTACTGCTGTTAAAAGTGAGATTATCACTTCAACAGTCTCTGAATCCAAGTGCTTAAGTGACTTCCACCAGTTCACTGGTGTGACTTGCTTTAAAACATCATCAGCAGACATATATTTCTTGAATGGTTAATTACCCTTACTGTTAAAAATTCACATCTTACTTTTTTTTTTTTTTAATTTATCTAACTTCAACTTCCAGCCATTGGATCTTGTTATATCTTCGCTAGATTGAAGAGCCATTTAGCATATTTGTTCCCCATGTAGGTACCTATAGACTATAATGAAGTCAACCTTTAACCTTCTCTTTGTTAACCTAGATAAATTGAGCTAATTGAGTCTCTTACTGTAGGTATGGTATGTTTTCTAATCCTATAATGATGGCTCTGCTCTGAACCCTCTCCAATTTATTAACATCCTTCCTGAAAAGTAGACATCAGAACTGGATGCAGTACTCCAGCTGTCACACCAGTGCCAAATAGAAGAGTAAAATAAGCTTTCTAATCCTACTTGTGTTAGCCCTTTTGGCCATAGAGTTGCACTAGGAGTGCACATTCAGCTGAGTATTCCCACAAAATGTTCAGAGTCACTGCTTCCCAAAATAGTCGCCCATCTTGTATACGCTCAGGAACAAGGAATATATGCCATACTTTACATTTATCCATATTAAAACATACATTGTTTGCTTGCCTCCCAATCCGATGTCTCTGTCAGTGACCTGTCCTCTTTACTGTTTACCACCCCCCTCAATTCTTGTGTCAGCTTCAAACTTTATCAGAGATGATTTTGTTTTCTTACAGGTCATTGATATATTGTAGGC